CAGACTTGTATATCCATATGGGCTTTATTCTGCCCTTTTCCATAATGTCAAACACGCATGTAAATACAGAAACAGTCATTCATATAATATTACATTGACAAGCAAGTCAGTTATTTATTTATTTTTTTTAATTGCAACATGTTTGCAATCATAACAAGATGAGGGCAGCAATGGGTAGATCGCCCTCTCCCCTTCCTGTAGCTGGATACAGCTACATTAGGACCCCTTCACTCTTTACACTGTGCAATAAAAGCCAGCCAGAAAAGTATAGTCAACAAGCACGTACGTGTGGTGTTTCTGCGTGTCAGTCAGTACAAACCAGTCAATACACCCAGGGCCCTGCTAAAAAAGATGCGTGTGTGTTTGTTGTTGTGTATGGGAGAGAAAAGTGTGTGCGCACGTGTTTGCGTTGAGAGCTGGGGGTTGGTTAGAGGAGTCTGGGTTAATCTGTGACTGCTTGTCTGTGCCGATGATAGTATTGATCTGATGAAGATCATCTGAAGGTCAGGATATGTTGTCTTTGTTCAGGGGGCGCCTGGATCGTGAGGCGCTGGCTGTCTTTTCGCTGTCTGTATAACTGCTTATAATACTTCATTTTTTAGTAGACATTTTTTAAACAGAAAGTGAAAAGTGAAGAAAAATAAATCTCCAGCTTTGGGCCAATACTAGTATGAGATTAAGTGGAAAATGTGCTTGTATCGGTGTTTTGACAGCATTATTATGATCAGTAGATTACACAGGCTGAAAAGCAAATATTGTTATGTTGGCATTTTGTGATTGACACTTCTACTACCTTCCCTTTCTGTGGGTCATTATCATCATTTCAGAATGATGAAACAGAAACTAGGCTTGTTAGTACTTAATTATTCATTTGAATCCATAAAGGCAATCAATTAAGCTTAAGTGTGCAATAAATCTGATTAACCAGTCAGTTCCCAAAACACCATAAAATCCATGCAGGTCTTATATGCTGGTAATGAGTTTGCAAGTAGGGAGGGGGAAGGGGCTAATAAGTGAGAGTGCTCACCCACAAACACACACACACAAACCTTGGTGCGTAAAACACAATTGTGCTTGATGCATTTTTTTTTTTCGGGTGATAATTTGATGTATTAGCTTTTGGGGATGAAAGATAAGCAGGGCTTAATGTATGCTAATATTAAGGTCTGCAGCTTGTAACAAAATAAAGCAAGGTCATCAGAAAACGGCGCATGTGTAATTAATAGATGAATTCATTACAAAAACAATGACTCAGTTTAGAAACACTCATTAACAAGATAAGGCATTTGAAATGGAAATACAAATGTTAACGGTAATGTGTTGACAATCAGAGCGGCTAAATTCAACCTTGAAACGTTTTTAATGCAGTCCGTGCCCATTCGATTGGGCGAATGTGCTGCCCTCTTTTCTGCCACTGCTGTATCATTCCTTATTATTCTCTGACATACTTGCTTGCTGATGCTCTCCCTCCCTCCCTTTTATCCCAGCCTTCATCTATCCTTCTCTCCCTCCCTCCCTCTTTCGCTGGCCTTTACCTGCTCGCTTGTCTCGGGGGAAATTACCACAGCTCAGAAACGCTGTCCTACTGCCTGCACTGCAACGCTCTGCTCTGCTCTGCTCTGCCTCCCTCCCTCCACGCATACAGCACACATATGGGCACACGCAAATGCATACACACACACGTGCACCGCAGACACACAGTCAAATACAGGCATGCACTTAAAAGCACCAGCACATACACATAAAGACTGCATAACCCCTTTCCCACCCCAAGCATAACCCCTTTACCAGATGCTGCTTTCTGTTTATTCTTGCTATTATGCTACCCAAAGCAGTACACGGGTACAGAGTAGTACAGAGGATTAGAGACACTTGCTGCCAGTGCTTAGACTGAATTTGTGTGTCTTCATGAACTTCATACATGCTGTATGTGGCTACAGCTAAAAAGAGCACGACTTTTGTACATCAGACCTCTTCTCACACTAATTCGCTCTTTAGTCTTAATGAAAGTTAATGAAAAGGATCCCTCCTCCTCTTCTCCTGCACTAGCATGCCTTTAGCTACTAGCGGGCTTCCTTATCTCCCAATGCAATGCTGCAGACCTTGGAGATGAGCAATGAGCAACTCAGCAGGGTTTTCCCACTCTGTGCTGGTATTTAATGGATAGGCACTTCAATCAGCACTGCTAATCAGAGTGAGAAAAGCTTCCCATGAATGTTTCAGTTCAACCACAAAGCAACCCACTTGCAAATTTTGCCTTGAAGTGGCAGAACTGGAGGAGTCACTGTGCAACATTCTTCTTTTATGGGCAGTTAGGAGATGGTCTCTTCCTGTCAGAATTATCATCATGACGGCCCTTTTGCATATGTCAAGTCATGCCTTTGGAAATGTCACTTTGAGAGAAGCGACAGCAGCTCGCTGTCTGCATTTTGATTTCTCACATACATGGAGTCCAGACTGATGCAGAGGATTGTGTATTCATAATCAATACCAAAATACTGACATCACCAAGTCATCAGTTACCCCACACCATACACCAAACTGTAAATCTCTTTTTCTGCATTATGTAGTGAGTGAGGTCTTAACACCGAGACCTGCTTTTGGACTTGGTAAATCCTCAGATCATGTTTAGCTAATTCCACAAAATGAAAGCTCTTGGTAGTACCTTTGAAGAGGTGCTTTGTATTTTTGAGTAAGGCAAAGAAACATAGACTGTAAGTGCTATGAATTCATTTAATGATCCCATAAATCTACCTGATCTTTCATAAACTAGATTTTGATCTCAGAAGGAAAAATACAGTTCGGGATTCTGGTTATGTAATTTGTCTGATGCGCCTGCGTTTTATTAATGTGTGTGTGCGCATATTAAAGTCTCAAGTAGGAGATACTTTGTCTCGATAAGACGTAGCCAGAGAGCACGTGCATTAAATTTGCATGTCGCCTTGTAACATACAAGTGTGTATGCGTGCTTGTGATGTGAGTAAGTGTGCGCGGTAAGCATAGGAATTTGTGGTTTGGTGTATACACATGCATACTTGGGTGAATATGCGCATGTGTGTGTGTGTGTGTGCGCGCGTGTGGCAGACTCTGGCAGCAGGCTTGAAATTAAAACCTTATGCGGAACAGAGCTCGTGATTGAACTGGAATTAAAACAAAAGGCAGAAGAGCACGGAGTAAAAAAAAAAAAAAAAAAAACGGGGAGAGGAGAAGGAGATGGCGAGAGCAGCAGGAGGAGGAGAGGTGTATTGTCTAAGAAGAGAAGAAGTGAGCGATTGCCACCACTGCAGTACTACAGCTCGTCTGGGTTGTTTCTTATCAGAATGTCAGGCAGACCTTTCCCATTGACTCGCTTCTGTCAGCAGTCTTCTTAAATGTGAAAGCAATTAGGGAAATTGGCGAAGTCAAAGAAACATCTCAAAGACACCTAAAAGAATAGCTGTGATGAGTTGGAGAGCGCATGTGGAACAGGGAGGGATGAGCGCACACTCACATAAAATACATGTGAATGTCTGCACTCAGGGAGAGACACACTCCCTGTCTTTTTTTTTCTTAATGCACATACACCTGAGTAGCTCTTGCCTTTGATGGCTGAGATCATGTCGAACCACAGTCTTCGTCTCAAGTCTGAGCTGTCCTTTGTGGCGCATGCATTTCTGTGTCCCTTTGATATCTCCTAAGTAATGCACTTTAGTTTTCTTGACCTAATAAATCACTGAATTGACGCTTCAAGTAAGCGTATTATATTAATTCTGGGACAAAATGATTACTAGGAACACAGCTTATTCAAATGGCACACATTACAAGCGAATTCCTGCATTTTCCCTTTTAATAGCCTGAACTACACTTCCCTTAAGGCGTTTCTGAAGGCATTCCCCTCTGCTCTCACCTCTCTTAACCCCTGAGCATGGAGCATCTGCTTTCTCCATTCAGTTGGAGCTTGCTGATTTAATAGCTCTGGGCATATTGCCTTGAAAAGGAGGAAGAAAAAAAAAACTTTTGGCCAGGGCCCCTGGCTTTCTCATTAGTAGTCTCTCCTTGCAATGTATAGGAGCATTCTCACTGGTCAGCCCTCCTCTTTGTGGAACACAGTCTTGACCTGTTCCCACCACACATTGTCTATGTGTGTGTGTGTGCATGGAGCGGTCATTTCCATGAGAAAGGAGTGCAGAGAATGGACAGGGGCTGCGTTTTCTTTCTGTGAGATGGCTGCAGACGCGACTGAGGGTGCACAAGGGCGACCTCATCCATCATGTTGTGAATAGCCTAAAATTATCGCCCAGTGTTTCTGGACATCATGTGATGAAGAGATTCTTGACAAAGGTCATCTTGGGTAAGAGCAACCCGGGGCTGGCTCTCTGACCCCAGTTTTTGGGGGGTTTATTTTCACTTGCTTAAATAAAGTTCACAGTGTAACTGCCAGTTGCTTATGGAATTTATACACATTTACCATTTTAGTTATGCATCACATAATGTATTGTACTAGATAAAATATGAAATCTTATGTAAAATATGTGGCCCTTTAAACAAAAACTATAGGTTAAAAGGAGGCTAAAAAATGATTACACATGGTTACTAACAAAAGTAGGTTTGCAACTATAAACATTGTCTTTGCTATTATATTGAGTAATTTGATCCATTCTTAAAATTAACTGTTGGAGCAACTTTAAGACTTAAAATAGCTAATCTGCTGGGTATATAATTCAAAATGCCTGTACTTTCTTCATGTATGTTCTTTCCACAGCATGACATGTCTCACATTTGTTTCTTTTTTTAAGCACACAGTGTTTGCTGCACGCTTCAGCAATTACCCTGGAAATATGAGCTGGCTGCCTCTGTCCCTTTTTTGTTTTGTTTTTTTCCTGGTTGTCCGTCGCATGGTTGTATTAAAAAGGTCCATCCTCGGTGGCCAGTCGGGAGGTTTGAAGACCGGAGGAAGGCGGGGCGAGTGGGCGGAGTTAGTGTTTTGGTTGGTCGGGAGAGACGTATCCGGAGCGACTTCCTGGTCTGTCTGCTCCCTGGGAGGAGGAGACGGAGACTGCAGTGTTGTTAGTTTGAACAAAATGGCTGCGAGACCACTGTCAAGGAGAGCTCACTGAACGCCTACCATGAGTGTCCGCTCCGCCGTCTGGATCAACACAGAATGTATTTCCCCGGAGTCGCTACTCATTTTGCATTTGCGGTAGCCAGTCCGTCGCTAGTCGTCCAACAGACGACTTAAACAACAACAACAACAAAAATCTTTTGCACTTTAAAACAAGTTGGGTGGCTGGCTGACGGCCGTCGGCTTGCTCCGCGAGAAGTCATCGGCGATTTTTTTTTTTTTTAACGAAAACTGCCTGATTTCTCTGGTTTGCAAAACCTAGCAACGGTCGACGACTTACGACGCCAACCAGCTAACGTTAGCTTACATAATTTAGCTGCTTTTAAAAGTCATTTTAATCGTGTTCGTATTTTTTTTTGTTTTTGTTATTAGTGGTGCTTCGTCCGCTTCCCCGCCCCCTCCCCCCGTTAAATCGTGACGTTTTAACAAATTGTTTTTGGTAAAAAAAATAATTTCACAGCGTATGTGTTTTGGGTTTTATTTTTTAATCTTTTTTCTTCTTGCTCAAAGCATAAATTACCGTACTTGCTGTGTATATATCTGGCTGAGTAGCCGTTGTTTACCTCGGTATCTTGTCACCAAGCTGCTACAGCAGCAGTCGGCTTATCTACCAAGTCTGACTTTAATTACGACTAAATCTCTGCTCCATCTCTTTACGGGTAACTTTAGAAAAGACATCGGAGAATGCTTTTATGCATTTCCCCCCCTGCCATGCATCGACTCTTAACTGAAAGCTGCCAAAGCTGTGATTAAAGCAAGGTAAGTTTATACATTTAATTTATTTATATATATTTTTAGATTCTTGGCAAACTGATGAATAGTGTTAATCAACGTTTGACAATCAAAAATCGTAGCGGCAGCCGAAAAATGAAAATCGCCGTGTTCCTCTATAATTAAGCTAAAGTATATCACTCAGCTCTAGTCTCATTGACATACAGACTAAGCCCGGTTAACAGCAGCGGTAATGCCCCGGCAAACGCTCAAGTACTACATCATTAAAACATCCATTAACAGTTTACTAAGCGTGTTTGTTTTGCCCAGATTTCTGCTCACATTGTTTATGCAGGGCATTCTTCGGGAAAGGAAAACACTGATTGAGCCGAGGTATTCTTCCATGTGCCTTTAGATACGGGTTTGATGACTAATTTTAGTGTATTTATTTGAAGGGTCTTGAATATGTTGGGAACTTTTGTGTTATATCATAGCCCTTTTATGATTGGCTGTGTGCGCTGGAGCACACTCTGTACATGTGAGTGTGTAATGTGATGGTTTCTTGGAGCCACTGGGAGAATTGCTTTGCCTTTTCCAATGTCTGTGTGGTTATTAGAAGGTAATGGGGCGCTAATTTTATAGTTATAGTTTGATTGCAGATAGCACAGAGTTGCATTAGGGCTGTAACACCTTTTTTATATTTTCGTTAAATGTTTTAATTCGTGCCTATCCGATGTAGTTACACTTTTCTTAAATGTGGCAAAGGCACAGTCCCATTTGTTCCCAATTTTCGCTACGCTTCGGTCTGTGGTTCAACTGTATCACATTATGTATCTTGTACACCATTGTACATTCCACTACACTAATTCTTAGTACATTATTAAACATAGCTGTCCTGTCTCTCTTCCCTCCTTCCCTCCACACCCCTCCTTCCCAACTCGGATTGAACTGTCGCTTTCCATTGCTTCCCCCCTTCTTGCATCCTGTCCCCAGGCGCTGGAGTATAGCTTTTAATATCTCCACCGCGTGTCTTAATTGAAGTACATAATTTCCTGTTCAATTTCAAACCCCCTTTTCCTCCACCCCTCCTCTGACATCTCTGTCACCACTGTCTTATCTCTACCGTCACACATCAGTGAGGTGATGAAATGAAAAATGTGCCCAAGCTGTAGTGGCACACCGTACATTTGCAGTCAGATGCGGATGGTTTATTTTTGTGTATGATGGATATATGCACTGTCTGTGAATGTAAATATTTTTGTGGCATATTCAGCCAGTGTCTGCACATGTGCAATGCCTTTCATTTTTTGCCATGGGACTGTGTGACTATTTATGTCTAGCTCAATACCTTTGCCATTAAGTAATGCCCTCCAGTTGTTAATCAGGTCTTGAGCGCACCCTAGACGGCCAGCTGACAGACAGGCACAAACACACAGCCCTTTTTTGCCCAGAGCTAAGGGTCCTTCAAGGCTGATGAGCATGCAGTAAGGGATAGCTCTGAAAAGATGTTTCGGGGGGTGTCCAAAATGAGTGGAGAGAATAGGATGCACTTCACCGTGGAACAAAAAGGAGGAGGGAGTTTAGTTTTTCTTAAATACCATGCAATTACCTTTACCATTACCAGACACAACTGTAACTAGCACTTAAACCACAGCAAGTGGCTCATCTTGAAGGCAGTTGGGTAAATTTGGGATTGCACATGGACCTTAGATCACCATTGATGGCGTCACTCCTTAGGCAGTGCATGTTATGCTGCAATGAAGGTGCAGGTTTTCTGCCAGGAGCAGTCAGGAGCAGTGTGGAGTATCTGGGGGTGTAGCACTGATTTTGCATGCCACTGTCCACCTGCCCTACTGTGATACTGAGGGAGCAGTGCAGTAGTCTCTGTGTACATGCAGCTCTAGCAACTGTTGCTAATGAAAGCACACAGAGAGAGACACTCTGGGGAGTTTATTCCCTACTTCCAGCATGAAGAGAAAGTACTATACCAACAGTATCGAAACATGTATCGAAATACGCTTAATGTCATTCACATGCAGCAGTAAATTAGGTAGTCTGCCCTGCTGTAATTAGTCAACATAAGCAAAGCATTAGAACTGCCGATGGGAAAACAGTATTAAAGATTTGCTTGGTTCCTTTTTATTTTTAACTTTAAAAAAAAAAAACTTCAATTCATTTGAACTGTATTTATGTGTGGAAAGTGGTTAGCCACTGTAACTGTTAATGTAACAGTTGTAGTATAAAAATAACTGAAATGTATTAAATGTGCAGAAAGTCTGGCATAAATATTGGTATATGTCCTATTGTCATTAAAACATTTCTGAATTAAATTAGCTCAGTCTTGTGACGTTTACCTTAGTCCCAAAATGCAAAAGGATTCAAAATTAGAAATTTCATCTCACAGAGGCTCAGACTCAATGAATTGTATTACTTCTTTTGCCTTTTTGGCAGCATTGTAGGCAGGAAACACATTACCCATGTTGGCTCTGGATCTAACCAGGCTTTAGGCTGTTGGCATCTAGACACTGTTTTGATTAGAGTGTATTGTAACAATGCCGGGAGGACAAATCTTGGCAGTAACTCCATCTGCAGCCCCTTATCACTAAAGGGGCAGGATCATTTATTTGAAAGGAAACCCAAGGCTTGCGTATCCTTAGTTGACCCTTTGCAGACAAAACATGAACACTAGTGTAAGTTACTATCATTAGCCTTGTTTCCACTGCAGGGCCAAGTGTAAATATACTGTATCCACCATGCATTTTTCTGTACAGTGGTAAAATAGTTTATTTTCCTTGTCAGATATTTTGTTGTGGCCCTGATGAAGCCCCCTGTAGTTGGACTTGTGTGTGGCTTCTGTTGTCAGTCCTCTCCCCCTGTCATTGACCCTATCCCAGGCTTTAGTGTGGTAGTCACTGAGCCTGTGATTATGAGGCTTTTCAAACAACTGGCACAGTCGCGATAGATAACACGCTTAACACCGCCGCAGGGTGCTCCTCAAGTAAGGGTACATTGACAGTAGAATCAGCTGGATTGAATAGGGGGCTGCCAAAAGCCATTAACCTCTTCCTCTGCTCACTGTATTGCTATTTTAATGTCAAGGGGGGCAGGATCTAGATTTACCAAGCAATGGTGTTTGGTTTGGCCATTGTACCAAATGAGTAGTGTTTATGTGGGCACACCCCTAAGGGGGGAGTGTGTCTGTACTTTGTGTTTGCAGTTGTAATAACAGAGCACCAGAAAGCCATAAATGGTTACAGTGTCCTTTGATGGATGTAAACTAGAAAACAAAGCTTTTTAGGTTACATCCATCTTGTAGACCAGGCTTTACTGTTGTTTTGGTATAAGATGGTGATCTCATGTTATGATAGATGTGATCTCCACGTCTTACACTCTCATACCCATATCTGGCATTTCTTGATTGTGAATTTGCAAAAATTGAAGATGCACTCTAAATAGGCAAGGATGAAATTAGTTTAAGTTGTCAGTAAAAGGTGGCAGTTTAAGGAATCTTCTTGTGATTAGTAGCCGCACATACAAACTAAAGGGAGGTGGATGTGTAATTGTCCCCTCCTTATCTAACTTCTGTGCCAATTGAGGGGGCAGGGGCTTTAGGGGCCCACCAAGGGTAAGCTAGGACTGGGTGGAAGCAGGGGGATGGGGGAAGCGAAGCTGAAACCCATCGAGCTGCTGCCTGAGAGTCTTGGCAGGGGTCCAGGGGAATGTTCAATGTGCCGAGGTTTGGTTGGGGCCCCGGTCCCTCCCTCTACTTCATGTTAGCTAATTGGAGAGACGTGGACAGAAGGAGATTGGCATCAGATAGAAACTGACAGAGAATATGCAGGACAAGCAACCATATAATATTCCCATTTCCTGCTCAAAATCAACAGACATCCTTACTCATTATGTAACAGGACTTGGTCCCTACAGCACTAACAAAGCTTGCAGTTATAGCAGTGTAAATCGCACTAGCATGCACTAGCTCTCCCTTCACTGGGGTCATGGCTTTGGTTGATAATCCACGTCAATTCTTACCCCTGAACGTGAACTTGAATACAGTCGATGAACTTTATCCGTCTGCTTTTACTTTTATTGATGTATGGATGTAAAGTGGTTTACACAGCTCAATTTGCACTTCAATATATGACAAATGATAACAATAGGAAATAAAAATAAATCATGTTTGTTGGTGGCAAATCAGGCCACCTTACAACACAAAAACAACAAGAACAGTATTAAAAGGTAGGAAGAATAAAAATAAACATATAAAACAAGATAATAGCTGATATGCAAATTAGCATAGTACAGTAGGCACAAACCATTTAAGGCAGCAGGAATGTCATTTTACAAGTATTTTTCATATTTAAATATCTTTATTAGTAGTTTTCTCAGTTTTTTTTTTTTTTCAACCAATAGCTGCAAGACATTTCTGAGGATTGTTATTGGCCACATAGACCCAGGGTGGGTATTTATTCTTATTAGATCAGTTAAGCCAATTTTTACTTTAAATTTTAAAAAAAATGGTCTAATGTTTTATTTCACTTTGATAGATGTAGGCTTTTTTTGTGTCAGAATATCTGTATCTCATCTGCTGTCCAAACAGAAGGAGCTGTTGTGGCTTTTTCTGCTTTTATTCCTTTCCTCTAGGCATTGTTCCTACATCTCTTTGCAGGCTTGCTTCTCACTTTCAGAGACTGACTGATTGCTTATACTGCTGGCAGTCAGTAAGTTGTTGATGGGACATTGTGTATGCCCATGTGCTTAAACATCAATCTTTTCTGAGTCGAACTTTGTCTTTTCAGCCTTGGGTGTGTGATCATTTGGTGTAAAGTAGGGAAATTTTGGTTAGTCCTCACTTCCTGATATACCTTCAAAGGACTCTTTGATGGTTAAGTCTCAGTTTATGACTCAGGTTAGAATAACATTTAGGTGTGGGTAAGGTAGCCAGATGTACTAGCTGACAGAGACAAGTGCCACTGGCAATGGTAGAATTGCTGGCACGCCGACAGTGCAGTCAAGCTATAGAAAGCACTCAAAAATAAACACATACACCAACACATTCAGCTTGACAGCTTCTTCTTGAATTCACTAAGCTTTAGCAGTGGCGATGGCAAGGACCAGGCTTTGCTTAGTCTTGTGTATTGTGCTGTTTTTCAGTTTAATGAGCTGCCACTGTGTTAAAGTTTCATATCTGCTTGGCAGAGGCAGCAGCCAAGACTGTGAGAGAGAGTTTTCTGGAAGCAAACCTCAAAGCTGTTATTTATAGCACAACTGACTCCTAATATGTGGTTGTTTGACTTTTCTTCCTCCCCAGTATTCCCCCCCCCGCCGAACCAAAACACTGCTCTCCAGGGGCCATCTCTTCTTTACAGGTTTTACCAACATACAATATGTATTCCACAATTCACTGAGCAAGCCTAGTCTAATAGCAATAAAGTGCACTGTATATTTTCATAGACCATTTTGACCACCGGCTGTAAGCAAAGCCAATATGCACTGTATGCACAGGATGCTTACAAACCGAGCACTCACTGAGACTGAAGGATAGAAAACACAAGAAGATTGTTATTAGCACTTACCAACCGTGGAATTTACAGGCTTGTTTTCCCCAAGCTGTTCAGGTTGAGAAAACACAAATGCACTCCCACACACATTTGTGGAGATTAGTTGGGGTGTGTTGCAGTATTAGCAGGTATTCAGGAATTATTCCCCAGGTAAAGGCTGCCTAAAATGTTCCATGTAATAAGGCTCTGGAGAGTCTCATAGCTTCCATAATACGACAGGAATGGGTGGTTTTCTGAATGGCAGCGGTGGCAGATTTACCACAATCTGTGGTCACGAGTCTTGACTCTGTTATTCTCCCCCTGCCCCAAGAGAGGAAACTCCTCTTCCTACTCTTGTGTTTGTGGTGTTGTCTGTAGCCATTCCAAACACGATTCTCCATGTTTTGATTGCTCTTCTTTTTCTTTTGAAGTCCTGTGTCTCCCTTTCATTGTAACGCAGAGAATAACATTAGCACAGTTATCCTCCATTTTTCCCATTCTCTACCAGCCTTGCATTATTTTTTGCCCTCGACCTTATTTTCGCTGTCTGGTTCTTTTGACACTAGTGATCAAGGTGTATGAATATTTCAGCCCCCCCCCCCACCCAACTCCACCCCTGTCCTCCAGTCTCTCCTTGGTCTGCCAGCCTCAATAGAGCTTCATTCAGTTTTGTTTCCAACTCCTCTCCAGTGAGGATTCTTTTGGTCTTTGCCCTTTTCCAGCAGTATTTTTTCTTTCGCTGTGTGCCCTGTCTAGTTCTCTGGCGGCTGTCGTTCTTAATTGGTATTGCTCTGCGTCTGCTTTCATCCTCCGCCTGCTCCCTTTCCTCCATCCCCCCTCCCTCTTTTCTGCATCCCTGGCGGAAGAAGACAGGCATCAGACTGTCTGCTCCCGTGTGTGTGTCTGTGCTTTTATGCATGGTTGGTGTGTGTGTAGTGAGTTTCTAACCTCTTTCCTGTATAATAGCATGTTTCTTGTCATGTCTCCTCCTCTGTAACTTATCCCCACATATAGAGATATTAAGCAGTTGTATTTAGCATAGTAAGAAAGGGGGATCCTGCTTGGATATGAAATCATGAGTTTCCAGTGGTCAGTTTGGTCAGTAGTCAGTTATAATAGTTATAATACACAATTGAGCTCTGCAGTTACAACATGGAGACACATTTCTTTTTCTTTTTTTTTGTTGGGTTAAATGCACCTTTGCATTGATTTTTGGCTTTTTATCTGCAAATCTCCATATGTCATTTAACCATACCTTTTAAGGGCAAGAATATGAGCTGATTGCTGGTTATTGGCAGTGGTGTTGCAAGTCCCTTTAATTTAAGAGAACCTTAAGTGACACACGCTGGCTTTGTAGGTCATTAATGTCAAAATGGGAAATGTTTCCCTAATTGCAGAGTCTTACTGCCAGAGGGGGTAAACCTGATGCTGGGGAGTGTGGCAGAGAGCGATACAGCCCAGAATCACTGCTGAAGAAGTGCTGCTGTCAGCAGTACTGAGGAAGGGGGAGAGAGGCAGGTAATGCAATATGTAGGGTCAACAGAGGTCAGGAGGGAAGCTAACTTTGACGATGACTACATAAGCTCAAAAGTCAACTGCCCGCTCTCTGATTTCACATTCACATGCTGTTAGGACATTACCGTAAATGATATTACAGAGTGTGACACATAGGAAATCAGGATAATAACTTTGTTGTTTTAATACTTGGAACTGTTTTTGTCCAACCCTCATCGTGACAGCAGTACTTGTGAACAGACACTAGTGCAATCTTTTGTGTATAAAGACTATCAGGATGAGCTGTAGTGGAAGAGACTCTGTCACTGGCAAATGAAAGGAAAACAAAAATAGTTTCTGTCACCTAAAACTCCTTTGTCCATTTCTTTCCTCCAGTCGCTCCAATTTGTTCCATTGGCAAAGCTTTTCATTCACTTTTTTCCTATTCCTATTCTAGATGTTTATAGCAGTGCAGTATTTTCTATTATTTTCTTGTTAGGTGGCCATAAAAAGACTTAATACTATACTTAATAATGGTCTCAAATACTGAAGAGAATTAATAAAGAGTAAGATTACTTCACACGCAGTATACTGTTGTAAAAATAGAATTTTTTTTGTTGCACATTTATTTGAAGTGGTTTCAGTGGTCATTTTTCACAGTATCGATGCAGCATTATCAACAGCGTTCAGTGGGGCTGTTCGATATAACAATATATTGGATGACGATATAAAAACGTCTATCGTTTTATTTTATGCTATTGTTTGTTTCGTGGTGTCGCAAAATAAACTGTTTCCGGCAATATTTTTTCATGGTTTTGATGGTCACTGTAGTGGCTATATTAATTTCTTAAAGTTCTCTCTTTCTCTTATATGTAATATAACCACACTACTGACGGACAAGCGCCTGTTTTTATGCGTTGTCATTAGCAACAACGACGGTAACACCTTTGCGTGTCCGCTTGTTTATGTTCCACATAAACCTTTCACAATAAAGCTCAAGATCCTGTTGAGACTTTTCAAAATAAACTGAATCACGTGATAGAGCAGATTATTTACGGATGAGAAGTAAAAAAGCTAAAAAATAAACCTTAGACTCAAACGTTAGAAGCTTTTACCCGCAGCACGCCGTGTAATAAATACAAAGAAAACGGCGGCCGTTACAACTTATGTCAAAAAATGTATAGTTTCATGCATCGGTTAAAACACTCGACTCCAGGTAAAGGACGCGCAGCTGGAAACACTTCACGCAAGTCGAGCTGCCCGAGATTCACAGAATTTACAGAAAATGTTAAATTTTTGTGATTTATATTGTTATCGGGACGATAGAATTCTTATATCGGGATATGAGATTTTGGTCATATCGCACAGCCCTAGCGTTCAGTGAGCTGCTGAGATAGCACAATGAAAAATAGGATTGTGTTGAGTGTATGCGTGAATGTAGGGGAGAAAGGAAGAACAATGAAGTAGGAAAAGGAACAAGGAAGCTAAAATACAGTTGGAGGAGAAGTAATGCAAGATCTGTATGTTTGCCCAAACCCCTTTATATGATTCCTCTTCCGTTGCTGCCATAGAGACATTACTGCACCATCAGACTGTCTCATTGAAGCCTCTCCTGTCTTTGTGATTGACAGCTCCCTCCCACTGCCAGTGGGCAACACAGTGGGAGACAGGCCTTCTATTAGTCTTCTGTTAGGAGAGTTATGATTCATTCATATATTCAGACTTTGATTCATATCCATGCTTTGTGTAGGCACTTTTTTTGTTCAGTTGTGGTAGATAACACACATTTATCAACATTGGGATTTTAACTAATGATTTTTCATCATATTGATTATTATTGTGCTAATTGTTTCACTAAACCAGATATAATGTCAGTCTTATGTATGTATGTATGTATGTATGTATGTGGAAAAATGCATTATTCCCTTCACTGGATATGACACATGCATTGATGTCCATTGCACTTGGTGAAGCCTAAAAGCATGCACACAGTCACTGCCTGTGTCCTAGCTCATGCCTTTAATAGTTTCCAGGAGCTGTCACTAAAGCTGAGCCAAAGCAAATGGAGACTGAAATGAAGTACTTAGTTTCCCCTGAGCCCTCAGGCTAGCTATCTAGCTAGTTTGGAACCACACTCCCACTAAAAGGAGATCTTCGTTAGAAGAACTTGTGCTTTACTTTGTCTGTTGGCCTTCATGTTTTCTTCCTTTTGCTCCTTTAAATCCTTTCCTCTTTTTCCCCTTGAAAAAATTTGACTCGTTTGTTGTTTTTAAGCCAACCTTTTTATGCTAACCTTCGTTCTTCTTGTTTACACTCACTTCATCTCCCCCTCTGTCCCTTTCCTTTTTGTACTTGAGTAGTCCTCCTCTTTACCTTCTACATTTTAGTTTCTGATCATGAGGGAAAGTGTTTATCACAAGTTCCTGGAATGATTTTTGTATGCAGTGATGCTTGTAGATGGAAATGTTTTTTTTATGTTCTCTGAGTGCACGTTGGCCCTGACTTATAAATGGCTCATAAGGAAGGTACTACAAGTTAATGTGTGCTTTTGAACATGCTTGAAATCCCCTGAAATTAAAAAAAAGTAACGGTAATATTGCATTACCATTTAAGTTCATTTAAAGTTTAAAAATGAACAAAATAAATAATTTACAGTGTGGGGCCAAGATGTTTCTGTATAACTCTTGATGTCCAAAGTCTGCAATGCAGATCATACCAGTTATAATGTGTAGAAGTATTCCTTAATTGTGCTCTTCTTTTTTTCTTTTTTACTCATCATTCTTTCCCCTTCTTGTTGAACAGCTGAGAGAAGCTAGCAACAGAAGAAAGAGAACCATTTGATGGAAGAAAAGAAAAAGAAAAAACAAGAAGAAAAGACCAAGAAGGAAATTGCTCAGAAAAAGGTGAATGTAAAACCCCTATTAAGGCTTTGCAGACATGTGAGTGCTAATCAAGTGATGCTGACTTGTCCACCATTTTTGGACATGTGACAATCATTGTGATGGTCAAGTTAATAACCGGCAAGTCAGACAGGCCTTTGGACCAGTCAGGGACCCCCTGTCACTAGGGAAACGTGTATTCCCCAACCTCTTGGTAAAAACCTCCTTGTGGTTGCTAGCATATTGCTGCAGTCTTGTTTTGAGTGGAAGTGGCAGCCTTGTAGCCTGACCAGCTACTCTCTGAGCTGTGCTGAAACCGTAAAAGTGTGATGCGCAATGGAAATGGACAGTTTGCCCTCACAGTAAAAGTTGCACACTTTGAAACATGTTGGCTGCAACGCCGAAGTACAGCTTTTACTGTGAGGATGAACCCTCTCCATTTCTGGTATATAAAGTACTTCCACTTCTAGCTGGCAAGTATTTGCAGACGAACATGGAAAAACTCTAGGCAACCGTGGCCATCTGTGAGCAACCAAAGTACCACCTTAGTTATGACCGATTTCACCAAGCAACAGCTCAAACATCCAGCGACCTAACAACCAGTGATTGTATCATGTCCGATATGTCTCGCACAGTGTGCGCATGACGTCACGTGAGAAACCTCAGTGCTATCCATTACACACACTTTTCTGTTATTAAAATAGATAGGATACTAGCCTTCACTTAAGTTGCCCCTGTGCATGGAGTGGTTTTATTGTAAGTGCTTAATAGTAATAAAATAAATGGAATCAGCCTTGGTTGATTTGTTGAAATGTAGGCAGCAAATTTCCATTAAAGGACCAAATGACTACTTCTATTCACTGATGTCTTGAAACGATAGGCTCACTTTATTCGGTAGCACTAGTCATTTGATTTATTTGTGAACATCATACTTTAACTATTCATTTCCTAAATCAGTTTCTCTTCTCCTCTGCAGGCTGCTGATCAGAAACCCAAAGGTGAGTGTCATGAGCAGACAAACTACACCCTCTCATATACTTCATTTTCTAACACTACATTCCAGCCACTGATGTACATTAATCAGCTCTGATTAATACATAAAGGCACACACATTATTTATGCATTATACACACGTAGCATTTAGCATTCTTGTACACAGATGGACACACACATTTTGCACATGCATGCACAATTGTGCACAATCGGCACGCACACATGCAGACGCTCATTAGAGCAAATACAGGGGCGTTTTAATGCAGAGTGACGCTCAGTATGCCAGGAGCACCAGGCAGTGAGGCGTGAGGGGACCCAGACAGCTCACTGAGTGTGCTGTAGGTAAAGCGATGGGGGGATGGGCTATAGAAAGAAGAGAGAGGATGAGCGGGATAAAAGAAGGCAAATGGTGTTCAGCTGAAATGCAAAACTAAAGGAACAGTGTCCTCATATCCCCTCTGCAATTTCTTAAGATGTTAAAATAGTTTCTCAGCGTTCTTGTTCCTGTGATAAGTTCGTAATTTGGATTGTTTAAGTAAGACATGTATAACGATCTGTACAGCCAATAGATTTGCATGCTTTTGTTTTATAAATAGATTTCTAAATAGAGTTCTACTTTAATGCAGTAGCTTACATCCACATGCATACTGGCATAAAATGAAATATGGAAGCGTTGTGTCCCAGCTGTCTGCATTAAAAGGAATGAACAATTGTTAGTTAAGAACATCTAAAATGCTCCATTGCCTCTATAATTTGCGATTGTCATATCTGCTTTCAAACCTGAATCTTCATACATCATGGACGAGGATAATTATCAAGCACACCCTCTCGCTTTGTTGTCACTTAGCAACACAGTGAGGTTATTCCTGTGTTGACACTTAAAAAAATGCTGTTAATGCTAAATACCTAAACTAAAGGTTTCTGTTAATGCATAGTAGTGTTGGATTGAAGATGGCAGAAGATTTCATCCTGTCTGGGGTTTTTTTCTTAGTGTGTCTCTTAGCACCTGCACTTTGCCAGTTTGAGCAGCAGTTTGGCCATCTGGGTGAAACTGTGAGGCTTTAACAAAGGTCACCACAGCTTGCCTGGGACTCTGACCTGCCTATTTAATTACCCTCCCTGTGTTTCACTGCACTGCCTGTGAGTTTGACCTATTAACCAAGTTTCAAAGCTGCCTACAAAGCTGAATGCATCCAATTTCAATAAGCATTTAATGCCACCGTTCTTCTGCTTCAGTGAGAGATTAAAATATCAGACTCCTCCAGGGCTACAATTCAATTCAACATTTGTATGACTTCTGCTTACATAGTACTCAGATGGGGGCTTGTCACAAATATTAACAAAGAACATCAGGAGTGAAGAGGCACATTTTATAGTGGGTTTTCTTTTCTCCAATGTAATTGTACACAGGACATATTCACTGAGATCTTTTACAGAAACAGTTTGTACTAATATACATTACTTTTGCACATGTATGCTGGCATTTACAACAGAAAATGTATGTTTTGGTCACCGATGACGCATTAAAGGCAAGCAGTACTGCTGCACGTTTATTTGTTTTCTCAAACTTTACCAATGACCCACATAATGCATTAGACAAGGAGCATGGAAAAGATTATGTTGATGTTAGGCTGTAGCCGTCCACCTAACCACAGGATGTGGCCAACAATACGTGTCACATGCTGTTTTGTGTTGTGAAAGCCTGCGTTGTTTCTTTGTGCATCTTCCTATTTGTCTTCAGAGATCTTGTATTTAAATATGAGGCAATACCTTTTGACCAGTAATGTGTTTTGGCCCTGCAAATCTGCAGCTGTTACCATTTTTTTTTTTTTAAACCAAACCTTCCAATTTAGTGCACTGAAAGTAATTGGATGCATTATATACATGAGCAGAAATGTGCTATAGCCACCGGTGGTGCTCTGAAAAGCATGTTTATAGTCATCTTCACTGTGCTGCTCAGTTCAGGAGCCCTTTTTACTAACTTCCTTTAAAATGTAGGCACTATATATAAAGCACATCCTGCTACACTGTTTCCATTGTTAGATTTGAAAGCCAGTGTGCCAAATAAATGTCTAAATAATGAAAAGCATAGCACAGTCTTCATATTTTCTTGCTGCGCTGTATGAACTGTGTATGTTGGATGTGTGATGCAGCAATTGAAATGCCAAGAAGGGAAGGGGGAAAAACTCTTTTTAGGAGAGAACCCCATGGATTAGGGCACAGTTACGAAGGGAAAAAAGGGAGCGAGAGAGAAGAAATAGGAAGTGTAACGAGCTGTTTTGGTTCCACATAAAAGCAAAAATGAAGAAAGGAAAAGAGGAAGGGAAGTAATGAAGCTGCGAGCAGCAGACAAGTGCCAAAAATGACCGTCAAGAGTCAGTGACGACACTAATATAGCAGAGGACTAATGACATGGAGATTTATTTTATGGTGTGTTTAATGAGAGATAGAGAGGGAAAAGGACATGGGATGAGAAACTGATTGCGTTTATGTAGTGGGTAGTCATGCAAACAGACAGATAAAGAAAGTAGGTGAAAGAAGACTAATCGAGAAATCAGGACTTCTGTGAGTTTGCTTATAACCTCCCATCTGCAATAGCTTTTAAAAGGAACGTGGCATCGACTAGAATGAGATGGGTTTTCATGCATGACACTAAATAATAGAGGTGTAAGTGTGTGTGTGTCTGCTCGCGTGTGTGCACGCAAGACGGGGGAAATCGGTATGCGGTAGTGATTTGTGTCTTTCCATCCATATCAGTGCATTCTGTCTTCCTTATACACTTTCAGAAATTCATAGTCACATACACACTACCACTCCCCACCCTCTCTGCCTTTTTCTGCTTTCCTCTCTGCAGGCCTCCCTGGTCCCAGGCATTTCAATTTGTTTGCGGTAATCGATCTCGGCCTGGCGCGTTCATATGTATGAAAATGAGATAAAGCTTCGGCGCACTGGAATTAACTTCTCTGCCCCCTATTAGGCATGGAGCTTCACAGAATGCAAGGTTCCAGGAGGCAGTGTCCCATTGCCCCAACCCACCCCCACTCCCTCCTACACACACGCACGCACAGACAGGCTGGACCTCTGCCTATACAGAGGCTTTCCATCCTCCCCCCTCTTGGTCCCCATTACCTCAGAGACGCTGATTATTCACCCCCAGCACAAACGCACCTTCATCACAATCTTTGCTCCTGCTGCAATCACAATCAGTCGATTTGACTGCTATACATATCTACTAACCTTGACAAAAGCATGTGCACATACACAGACAGAGACACAGGGTACATAGTGAGTTTGATACCCACAGCCATCAAAACGTGCACATTGCAGCGACTTGGAGCCTTTCAATATGTTTTCAGTGAAGGAAGCTTACATTGTTTAACTGCAAAACTGTCAAGATAATAATGTCCTTGCCAAGATTGCTCTTAGCATGCACAAACACATGTGCGGACATACTCACAAATATGATTGAATTTGTAAGAAAACATGGCCCAAACAGGAAGTTAGACAAACGGAACTCAAAAATACAATTTTTTTTTTGAAAACTACATTTAGAAACAAAAAGCCACAAGTACCACCACGCTGTGCCTCTTGCATTCCTACTCTCCGATAATCGGAAAATCTGCAGTCTCTGTTTCTCCTGCTTGTGTGCTTTTCACTGATGAAAGGTTGGAAATTTAATGTGCTGTCTGTCAGTACCTCGTTCCTCACTCTCTCTTTGACCATGCTGTTACTTCCGCCTGTTTCATTACCCTCTACGTGTCCCAGCGACCGCATCCGAGGAGAAACATATTTACACGGTGTCACCATGGTGGTAACAGCATTATGTTTTCAAAGTGGCAACAGACACACATAAACACAAGTGTGTCCTTTTAATACCGCATTGGATTCATTCGCAATTTCACATGCTATTAATTGCATCAACACAGCTCAAATGGAATTTCATGAATTGCAATCTAATTAGAGGCTAATTTACTTTAACATTTGGGCTGCTTTTTTTCCGCTGTTAAACACATTTCTAAACACTGAATGAATTAATAGTGAATAGCTTGTGAATTACGTCCTGTGGATTTATGACTGCCAAGCATAATTGTTTTTCCTTTACCCCCTGTGTGCTCACCCCATATGAATGTCAAGTGTTAGGGGAAAGTGAGGGATGTAGGAATGGACCAAGGGAAGCGATAAAGGAAAACAAGGGGGACGCTCAGACTTAAACAATGCTCTCCTCCCTCCGTATTCATGTTGTATGATCACTCACTCACTCACAAGCTGCTGACAAGAGAGGCTCACACACCTCCCCCGTCACCTTGTTCTCCCCCACCGGAGAGCTGCTTTATGTCAAATACCAGGCAGATTAATAGGATGTAGCGAGAAGGATATGAATGACACTTAAGCTTGTTTTTGAAGCGCAAGGTCTATGCCAATTTGTTTGTTTAATGTTCTAAAACTGTCTGGTCTCCCCCTCATATGGCAGCTTGCTCCCCCACAAAAGTGATCTTGTCCATATGTCAAATTATACTTGTAGCTGACTTACAGTTCAAGTTCAGTGATGTCCATAATCACCGTGACCCATAGGTTTGGGAAGCCCAGTTTTAAGTCCTCAGCCTTTTGGCCCTCCCATTTTGGTTTTTTTGAAGAAAAAGTGACCATCAGCAGCCAATACTTCATCCAAAGACTTTATGGGTGCCTCCCATGTATGCAGAATTAATAATTAAGGGTTCTGTACTTGATTGTTTAGATAGTTGGGCATAGAAGTCTATGGGGATTGACTTGTTTTTCACCCATGTAAGTGGTCTTTTGTATAAAATGTAAGGCAATAATGTCTAGGACCTGTAGTCATAAAATACCTATGTATGAAAATATTCTTTTGCAGACCCCCAATGAGTTCTGCTCAGACTGTTAAACTGATACTCAAATTGAGCTCCTTTGACTCTAATAACACTAACATTATAACTGGGGCAGACTTTGTTCCTCATTTATGTATCAGCCTTTAAAAGTTTACTAACCT